ATTTGGGGACCACTGCAGGAGAAAAGGAGTGATGGCCACATTGTACTTGAGCTGTTAAAATATAAAGGAACCTTTCATTCCAAGCAGCTTGGAAATGTACCTTACTTTTACAAACTCAACTCTCAAGCAGCTTAGAAATGTACCTTACTTCTACAAACTCAACTCTCATAATTTTCAGTTTAGCAAATTTCCATTTTTTCCCTCAATAGAAGAAGAAACTGAGGGTCCGGCTCTTTTTAGGGAGTTCCTGCTTGATTTCATGACCTTAAAGGGAGAGCAAAGGGAATGAACATTGGATTTGGCAACATGAAGGTTATTACCATTATAAATACTAAACTTCTACCATATGTAAAGAGCTAGATATTATGCCAGAGACTATCACAATTATCTTATTTTAACTCTAAATGTATGAGTGAATGGAGGCAGAAAGGTCTGATAACCTTTTCTTGCCCATCTAAAGGGCCAGCACTCCTATAACAAGAGACAGGTTAGCAAAAAAAAAAAAAAAGCATTAACTTATTTAAGCCTAGCCATGATGGCAAAGCCCTGCTAGGATTCTGTGTTCAACAAGCCTAACATAGAAGGAGGCTTGGTTTGATTCCTTGTCAATCTAAAAGCTGAGAGCAGCAGTGCATGCCTGTGGTCCCAGAGACTGAGCAGGCTGAAGCAGGAGGATCATGAACTCAAGGCTGGCTTGGGTAATATAACAAGATCCTATGTGAAACAGCCAGGCATGGTGGTACATACCTGTTGTCCCAGATACTAGGGAAGCTAAGCAGTAGGATCAAGACACATTGAGACCTTGTCTTGAAAAGAAAATAAAGGCGCTAGCAGGTGGTATAGTGGTTAAGGCACTGGACTCCCACAAGGCAGACCATGGTTTCAGTCTCAAATCCGGATGCCTGAAACTCATGCTGGGTGTGTGTGCGGCATGCCCAAAATCTTGAGAGGAAAATGGAGGAGAAGGAATTGTCATGTGGCCATCTCCCTTGGGGGTTATTTCTCACTTTCTACCTCTCTGTCTCTCCAGCAAGAAAAAACACAAAAAAAAAAAAAAAAAAAAAAAAAAAAAACCTCTTAAAAAAAAAAGAGAAAAGAAACAAAAAACAAATTTACTTAATCAAAGGTTTATGTAACATGGAAGCCTTTAGAAGTGAAGAGCCAAGGAAATATGTCTGGTTTTTTTTTCTGTTTTTTTTTTT